ACTGGCCCTCCAACGGTCTGAGGGACAGTGAACTGGCCCCCCGTTTAAAAAGTTTGACGACCCTGCACTAAAGCATCTTAAAAAAATATCGGAGTGAATAGGATCATCTGGTTTTAAACACTCCACACTCAGTCTTGGAACGCCCAGCTAGAAAGACAGCCAGACGATGAGTTTAACTACTGTGGAGTGAGCAACAGTGTTGTTGAGATCAGAAATCATTCTTAAGACAGCTGTCTGATAACCCATACCTAAACATTACCTTGGCATTATTTATGTGTGTATGGTTGTATATATATTCACTCACAAATATGTCTATCTCAGGATGCAAAAAAAAACCCCCAAAAACCAAAAAACTTGCATTACTGTCAACTTACTGCTTTTCTCTCAGTCTCTCATATGTTTCCATGTCAGGTTTGATCTGTTTGGTCAACCGATGATACTGGCGTAACTGGGCAGCAGCATAATCTAAAAAGAAAGTGAGAACCAGACATAATATACTTCCTTGTTTGGTCATTACAATTCAGGGGGGAAATCTAAATTATTAGTAGCAATATATGCACAAGACACCAATCTAAGCAGAGCCTCTTATCCTGAAGATGCTGACAATCCAAGCCTCGATTAATTTTACCACGAAGAATAAAAGAATCCAGCTGACTGAAGTACAGCCTTTACTGCTGCCCCAGGAGATATATTTGTATTTTCTTGTGTTTATGCCTCTTAGGGAATATCCCTGAAGGGACGCATCCTTTCATAAATCAGGAACATTGAAGGCGATGCTTACCTAACAGGCCCATTCAATAAAGTAAAAGCCAATTTACCTGAAAATCCCAGGTCGGGGTTTTTCCTCTTCTTTTTCCTCTCCCATCTTTCTGCATCTTCCGCACTGATCTCCAGTAACTTCACTTTCTCATAGTCCTCCCCTCTGGCTGCACATTCCTAAAAAGAAAGGAAAAAGCTGAAACCAGCAATTATGATACAAGCAATTATTTTATCTATTTTAAAACAACAAAGATTAAATAAAATTACCTAGCAATACTTTTAAAATGATTTATCAAAGAAAATTTGGGAATCTGCTATAGTATATAAGAAGTACACAGATTTAAAATAATATTTATTCAGCATTTATTAGGTGTCAGACCCTGTTTTACAGGCACTGGCTCATTTAACTCATAATTAACTCAATTATTATCATAGTCTCCATTTTACAGGTGAGAAAACAGAGGCACAGACAGGTTAGATAACACCCAAAGTGCTGCAGCTAGTAAAAAGCAGAGCCAAGACCTGAACTCTGGCAGCCTAGCTCTAGAACCAGTGTACAAAACCAGCTGGTTTTACTGCGTCAATACAACAGAAAGACCGAGTAAACCACTTATGCAACAGCAGAGGCGTTCCTAACCTTTTTCTTTTCTTCCTCCCGTAGTTCCCATTCCAAACGGGCTTTTCTGGCTTCCCAATTTGCAGGTAACTTCAGTCTTTTATCTTCTTCCACAACTTCCTGGTGATTTAATTTACGGGCTTCATTCTACAACGCAACGAAAGTTTATAGCTGAAGCATGAAAATCAATCCAAATAGATCTTGCCTTCTTTGAGGGTCAGGTAAGACACATTACCAAGGGGACTCTATTTTATCTTAAAGCAAGAGAGAGCCATCAAAAGGATTTTAAGCAAGGAAACCACCTAACTAGGTCTGCATTTGTATCGAGTCAAAAAAAAAAAAATGTGTTGGGCTGCACGGATTTGCTGCTCCAGAGGCCTGCAGGTTCATGTCAGCTTTACCTCTGTTCAGCTGTGCAGTCCCTTCGAGCAGGTCCCTTAGGGTTGGATGGGACGAGGTTTCACAAAGGGGAAGGACTACTACAGGGGCACTAAAGACTTCAGATGGCACGGAATGATGGTAAACACATGATGAGAATGACGTTCTACTTTCCAGTCTCTTTTCATCTTAACTCAAAGAAAAAGCCTCAATTTGGGGCTGGGGCTCTAAAACCTATCTTAATACATATCTCTAATCCTTTCCAAATCCCCCTCCTTTTTAAATATTTTAACAGTTTACATTATGGCAAATGAAAGAAGTTTTCCAGTTGGATTACTCTGTGAAGAGTCTGTTTTAAAATAAATTTAACTGCATAAAATAAAATAAGTATACCATCTTAAGGAAAAATTAAGTTTGATGTTTCTTAGGTCACAGGCTGGTGGCAGTAAGTCCAGGAAGCCATGTCTCCCAATTTCCAACCAGATGTTTTTTACACAGTTCATCCAAGTAAATATTTAAGTATGTTTAAGTCTTTCTTAGATTAACTTTTGGGGGCAAAGAGAGAATGTCCTCTCAACTACCATCCCTTATTTATTCTTGACGCTGACAATACCGTCCAGGTGAAGACATGAAGGAAACACCTGAAATCAAACAAAGTTGTGTGTGTTGCCCTGAAAGAGAGCAAACCAAAGGGAACCGTAGGCATTTAGGTGAGAGTGTTAGGGGGTAGGTATAGGATTAGGGGGTAGGTGTCA